GAAAGACATAATAAAGACTAGAGTTGAGTCTAATGGACTAGAGACTAAAATAGCAATGTAAAGATCAATGAAGAAAAGAAATGTTTTTTTCGAAAGCTTAAGTTTGATAAACTGTTAGCCAAACTAGCCAAAAGAATAAGAGAGAAGAACTAAATTAATACAGTTAGAGATGAAAGGGGGAGATTACAACAGACAGCTCTGAAATCCAGAGGATTATTAGGGACTGTTTGCAAAGCTATGTTCCATTAAATTGGGGAATATAAAGGAAATGGACAAATTTCTGGTGACATATGGCTTACCAAAACTGAGCCAAAAGGATTCAAAACCTGAATCAGTCAATTACAGGCAAGAAAATGGAAAAGGAAGCAGTAATGAAGTCTCCCAACAGAAAGATCCTAGAGTGACTTGGACTCACTGCTGAGTTTTACCAGAACTTTAACGAACTATGGCTATTCAAAATAGTCCATGAAATAGCAAGAAAAAGAGCACTTCTAATCTCATTCTGTGAGGTCATTATCACCCTGACACCACAACCAGAAAAAAAAGCATAACCAAAAAACTATGTTCTATTATCCTTGAGAAATATAGTACAACAATATTAATAGAACACCTAAAAACTAAATTCAGCAGCATATTAAGGAAATCATACACCATGATAAAATTAGTTTCATCTCAGGGATGTGAGGATAGTTTTAACATACAGCATTCAATAAAAGTAATACACTACATAAATAGAATCGAGGATACAAACCACATGATCATCTTGATACAGAAAACATTTTTTCACAAAATTCAACATCCTTTCCTAGAAAAAGCCCTGATGAAATTAGATACATAGAAAAGGAGTATACATTAATATAATACAATTAACAAATGACAAATATATAGCTAATATTATACTTATTGGGCAAAAAAATGACAATGTTTCCTCTAAAATCAGGATCAAAGCAAAAAGTCTACATTCACTAGTCATGTTCGATGTAATACTTGAAATTTCAGGCACAGCAATTAAGCAAGAAAATGAAATAAAAGGTTACAAATAGGAAAGAAAAGTGAAATTATCCTCACTGGCTGATAATAGAATCTTGCACATAGAAGACTAAAGTCTTCCCTGTACCGGAGAAAAACCAAAAAAAAAAAAAAAAAAGAAGAAGACTAAAGTCTTCACCAAAGGCATTTAGGGTTGAAAAACAAATTCAGAAAGATAGTAAGATACAAATTCAAAAATAAGAAATCAATAACTTTTCTATACCCCAACAATGAACTAGCTGAGAAAGATATCAAGACACCAATCCAATTCACAACACTTAAAAAACCAAACACCTTCTCTCAAAATCAACCTAACCAAGGAGGTGAAAGTTCTCTCTGATGAAAATTCCAGAACATTGAAGAAATTGATGAAGACACTTAAAAAATGGAAAAAATTGCCAATGTTTATGGATGCACAGAAATAATACTGTCAAAATGGCCATATTACTGAACATGATCGACAGACTTGATGCAATCTCCATCAAGATACCAATGACTTGCTTAAAAGAACTAGAAAAAACAATCCTAAAATTCATATGGAAATACAGAAGACCTAGAATAGCCAAAACAGTCCTGAGCAAAAAGAAGAAGGCTGGGTGGCTGATAACCAATTTCAAAATATAGTACAGAGCCTAGCAATAAAAGCAGCATATTACTGGAACAAAAATAGACACATAAATCCATCTTCCAACAGAGGATTACAAACTCAAATGTATAACAAACTCAAAAAATTTAACACCAAAACAAAGCCCCCAAACAGTCCAATCAACAAATGGATGATAAGTATATTAAAAAAGTTCACTACCTTTAGCCTTTCAGGAAATCAAAATCAAAAGTAATGCACATTCCATCTTCAGTCCAATTGGCTTTCATAAAGAGTATAAACAATTAAAAAGAGACTGCTGGCAAGGATGTGGGGTGACATCCTCAGGGCTGTTAGTAAGAATGTAAATTAATAAGTTCCTATGGAAGGGTCTTCAAAAAACTAAAAAGAAGAACCACCATATGACTTAGCTGTCTCACTCCTTGGTACCCATCTGATGGAATTAAAGTTAGCATACTATGTGGAGGCTTGCATTCATTGTAATATAATTCATAATAGCCAACCTATAGAATTAGCCTGTGTCATCCACAGGTGAACAGATAAACAAAATGTGGTATTAGCCAGGAAGAAAAAATTATATCACCTACAGGAAAATGAATAGAACTGGAAAATGTTAAGCAAAATAAACTAGATTTTAAAAATTATCATGTTTTCCCTAGTAGAGCAATCTAAAACAAACAATAAACAAAGATGTCATAAAAGTAGAAGAAATACTATCATCAGACAGGAGTAAGGGAATATAGGAAAAGTGTAGGAAGGTATAAGGGTACATAATGGGATAAATGTGATCAAAATATGTCATAGAAACTGGGCGTGGTGGCTCACGCTATAATACCACCACTCAAAAGCCTGAGGAGGAGGGTCATTGTGAGTTTAAGGCCAGCCTGGGCTACATAATCAGTTCAAGGCCAGCCTGAACTACATAGTGAAGCTGTCTCAAAACAACTAAATAAAGTTACATGTGTGTATGAAACTAAAAATTTAAAAACTTTATGTCAGAAAGATAAAGAATATTAAGTCAAAACAGAAGAGTTTTTAATATTTACTTCTTTGTTTTTAATATAAATAACAATTGAAAAGTAAGTAATTCAACTTTTAATAATGGTTTTGTTAGAAACTAGTGTATAAAATTCCTGAAAATTTAAAAATTGACCCTTGAAAACTAGAACAGGCCAGTTCCAGACTCCAGGATATATGGCAATTCTAAATTGAAAATCATCCAAATATAGCTGGCAAATTAATAATCATTCTAGGAGATTTTGACCGACATGCAGCAATAAGCACTAGAAAAAGTTTAAAAAATAAATACAATATTTGAACTGCATAATTTTAAAATGACCTAATTAAAATATGGAGAGCATTTCTCTAGAGCTACTGAGTACACATTATTTTTAACTGAAAAATTTACAAAAATTATTCAGGTAATTTTTTTTTTTTTTTTTTTTTTTTTTTTTTTTTTTTGGTTTTTCTCCGGTACTGGGAACCAAACTCACGACATTGCACTTGCCAGGCAGGCGCTTTTTGCCGCTGAGCTAAATCCCCAGCCCCTATTCAGGTAATTTTGACAAATTTCAAATGATTAAACCTATGTAAAAAGAGCTTCTGTATAAATTGATGACTTGTTTGAAAACACTTGGCAATAAACATACTAAATATTTTAGGAATTTTCCCAATCTTTGTTCAGGTGGTCCTGGGTCAAATCTTAGCTCTAAAGATTAGAAGAGATAATCTGTTTGAAATTTATTACATGTTACTTATTTACATGTTTGTTTGTTTGTCTTTTGAGACAAGTCCTCAATATATAGTTCAAGATGATCTTGAACTCATTGCGTAGCCCAGACTGACAATGAACTCATGGCAACCCTCCTGCCTCAGCCTCCCAAGTGCTGGGATTGGAGGCATCTACTACAGTGCCTGGCAGAAATTTATTATACTTTGAAGTAGCTATTTTTAATTTCATAAGTAATATGCAAAGATATGATTAGTATAAAAAGTTTAATATTACAGATAATACCACAGTTCCCCCTTGGGACCATTTCTAAGGTCCTCAGTGTTATTAGTTTGTTATATGCCTTCTCAGGCCTTTATTATATATTTATGAATATGTGTGTATGGAAATATGGGGGATAATTCTATGATGAAATATCAAGCATAAAAAATATAATACCCTATGCATTTTCTGGAATTTGCTTTTATTTCTCAACAGTATGCATCAAATATATTTTGTATCCATACCAACAGGTACTAGCATATTGCATTAAAACTGTAAATCAATAACATTAAAATAGCTAGAAAACCCCAATATTTACAAAGTAAAAAGGGCACTTCTGAATTACCTATGCACAAGAAAATTATTATGAAGATTAGATAAAAAATAATAAACATTTCTTCTGACAATTCCTTACTCACTTTGTGAAGCTACTATAAACTTGATATAAAGAAATCTTGAGATTCTCATGGTGCAAAGGAACATTAAGAGGCTATGCCCACTCCTGAATCTAGGTGCAGAAATCCTAACAGATTAGCAAGATAAATCTGAGCTTATTTCGTAAATGCAAGCTTGACTTAATATTTGATAATGAATCATCCCTATTGACTATAGTAAATTAACTTATGAAAGTGATATGATAGTTGCGATACATAAATTAAAAATATTTCAAAAAATACACATTCTTTCGTAAATTCTGTAGTGTCATGCTTGACAATAGAACTTTCTTTACAATGGAACTGTTCTATGCCCAGTGCATAATCCCCCCACCACATGTGGCTAGTGCACACTTGTAATGAATGTATCTCATGAGGCTGAGCAATTAAATTATTAATTTCATCTAATTTTAGTTCATTTAGATTTAAATAGCTACACTTGACTAGTGGTTACCTATTGGTGCAGTTTGAGAATCTCTAGTTTTTCATCTCTTCTAATAAGGTAAAGTGGAGGCATTAGAAAAAGAGCAACTGTAGTAAACATTTGCTATTTTATGGGAAATTACTAAAATATTTTAAACTTGGGATTTGTATGTAAATAGTATAGTTGATAATATTTATTAAATAAAATGAAAATATAAATGACATAAAATATAAAATGTAAAAATGTTTAAAGAGAATATAATTAACAAAGCATCTAATTTCCCCTAGGCTCTTCTTCAGTGTATCATTATTGTTCATATTATATAGAATGTAGAGAAGCACGTTTCCTTTCCAAGTTACGGAATGAGATGTTGACTTCTATAAATCAAATACAGTATAAAAATAATGGGGTTCCTGAAACCGTGAATTCTGTTACTATACTTTGTAAAGTCATGCACTGTGCTCTTTTTTATGGTACTCAATCAAATGTGATTAGCTAACATTTATCTTTTCCTTATAGAATTGTACACATAAAAAATGCTGTGATCCTACAACATGTAGGAAAAAAAAAGGTGCAAAATGTGGCTCTGGAGCATGTTGTACAACAGATTGCCAGGTAAAAAACAATCTGTATTTGATAGCAATGTAGCATTCAGTTTCTTGAAGAGTTTCAAGGAGATGGAAAACATACCAGTATGCTGTTGAACCCTTTCCCCTACATTGTAATCGTGCAGAATTGGACCAATTCCACACTTTATTCAACAACCCATCATTTCTTATTTTCCTTTGTCCATAATGTCTGATAATTTTTTCTCATCTTGATTTACATATATATAGACATTACAAATCTTCAGGGGTACTCTGTGAAATTTCTCTATGGCCAACATACCTTTACATCAATTTTTTGCATCATTTTCCTATTAGTGTAACTTATATGGGGTCAGGAGGTCAGGTTAGCTTTTTTGTTAGCTAAATTCATCTTAATATCTTCTCATAAAATTCTTTTCTCCTTTGAAATTCATTTAGTTATTTATTGCAGTCATTCATTCCCTCATTCTCTCTTTATTAACACCATCTTAAAGAAGTTCTAACTAATTACCTATGCTCAGTATAAATTACTGGATCCTGAGAAAAAACCCTGAGCAAGATAGACAGCAAACATTCATAGACTGGAGGAAGAATATACTTTTTAAATTAAGGTTTTATAAAATCCAGAAGAAATTCCAGGAAAATGCTTTCTGCTTTGAACTATTATATGGAGGAAACTGAAAAAAAATGAAATTGAAGGTGAATGAGAGACTGCTTACAAGTACAATTTAAATAGAAAAACAGCACAATTTAGTGAATATCAGAATTTCTGTGGCTGAAAGAGTTGTAATAAAATATAACCAAGAAAATTCACTTTTGAAAATTTTTAATGATGTGTATACATTCTCAAAAGTTTTCTCTGATTAAAACAATCTTATTTTGATCACATTCAGTTCTGTTTTCCTGCACTAAGCATTTTCCTGTAACTGGAACGAAATACACAACATGAACAACTTAAAGAAGTTGTGGTTTATTTTGGCTCACAGTTTCAGTGAGTTTAGTCCATTATCTCGTGGGTAGCAACATAGCCCAAATTATGAGTCCTCTAACAGATATAGTAGTGTCTACTGTGCAGTCCTTCACTGGTCCAATTATGGAAAGGGACAGAATCTTGACCATTAATTAGATAAAACATGTATAGACTGAGAGTCTTTGTAAGAATTTTTTTTAAAAAGTAAATTATGAAGAAAAAAAATCTCAGCAACAAAACCAGTAATTTTAAAGTTTAGGGCCAATAGGTTTTCATCAGAGAAGCAAGGAAAGAAATATTTCCAACATGAGCATAAGAACAAAAATGATTTAATTTATTTAACGTCTGTCACCATGAAATATAACTTTAAAAAATTCTAAATGCATGACTGCCATGCAAGTTCAAAATAACCCACAGAAAGTTCTCTGGTCATTAATGGAAGAGCTAATAGACAATAAAGCTTCGCTGTGAGAGCACTTGAGGGATTGAGTATTCATAAGTATTTTTATAAAGTTAAAATAAAAGATTGACTTTGGACAAATTTGTAAAGGGAAACAAATTCTGAATAAACAATACTGTCTTATGGTATTTTTACTTATTTTCATAAGAAACAATTTTAGTCCCTGATATTGAGTTCAGTGTTAGTGCCATCACCTTGGGTGACACAGATAAATTATTGTTTGTTTCCTCATCCATAACTTGCAGAATTTGTGTAACATTTGCTATAGGTGGCACGTACTTATCAACAACTCAAGAAAAAGTACAAAGAAACTCATTTGGGGAAGGTGAATGTGGTTATATATTCTGGATCTCTAGGACCTTTGGAAACTAGACAAAATTTAACTTACTTTGTACAAGATAATAATAGTAGCCATGAAGAATTGGGGCTTGTAGTTTACCATATGGTATGTTAAATAAACAGTGTTATTTTCTTTCTTTTATGCCAGTATGCTCATCTTTGAATTCCTCAGCACTCTCTCAAAAATATTAACCTTTGTTTCATGTAAGGAAACTCAATCACCTAAAATTCCATGTGATGCTTCAGTAGGTGACAGGAAAACTTCACTTTCTTATTGTTCTTATCAACTTAGAAAAAAGTGGTTGGAAATTTAAGGAGGAAATACAAAGAAAATTGAAATAATATTGATAAGTAATATTTTTCATGTCCCTTTTTCCTCCTAGATAAAGAAAGCCAATGTACTTTGTAGGCCATCAGTGGATGCAGACTGTGATTTCGATGAATACTGCAATGGACAACAGGGAGACTGTGTACCTGACACTTATGCACATGATGGGCACTCCTGTGACTCAGGTGGAGCCTTCTGTTTTTCGGGAACATGTCGGACTCATGACAAACAGTGTCAAGAGTTACTAGGAGGCGGTAATGACTATAATTTTCTTTTTAGTTCTAAAATTTGATTATTCCAGTCTATTATTAAATTCTATTTTATTTATTTTTCTAATTTTAAAAGTAAAAGAATGAAAGTATATTAACAAACAGACATCCATTTACAAAATAGCACAAGAATAACATGAGCAATACTGAATTACAGACAAGATGACAAGAAATTAACAATGGTTGTTTTATTACATATTGATAACTTCAAAATCGTTAATCACGAAAAAAATATAAACATGAAATGTTGATCAAATAATTAATCATTAACAGTTCCTTCCAATAAAGCAATAGAAGTCAGTAGTACAACAATGTTAGCTATCCTGCATATACATATATACATAATTTTCCCTTTCTTTTCTCTTTTCCCTCATCCCAGTTGTTCTTTACTTTTGAGCAGTTTCCTTTCATTTCACAATGTCTATCATACCTCCTAATTTTTATTCACTCTTTCAGGTTCTTATACTAGTGAGACAATACATTGCTTACACATGCAGGTTTGATTTATTTCGCTTATGAGTATGATCTCTAGTTGTGACCATTTACCTATAAAAGCCTCAAGTTTATCTTTCTTTATAGCTGAGTAATATTTCATTATATAAAAGTACAACAATTTGTTTATCCATTCCTCAGTAGACGGACTTTTGGGTTGCTTCCATGATTTAGCTATTACAAATTGTGCTGCTATAAACATGGGTTCACATATATTTCTATGACATGATGTTTTCAGTTCTTCTGGGAAAATACCTAGAAGGGGAATAACTGTGTTGAATGGGACCTCTAGACCTTGTTTGCTGAGGAATCTCCAAACTGATTTCCACAGTGGTTTCACTAGTCTGCATTCCCATCAGCAGTTCCTATTTCTCCACAGCCTCGCCAGCATTTGTTATTCACTGATTTCTTAATGATAACCATTCTTATTGGGGTGAGATGAAATCTCAGTGTTGTTTTAATTTGCATTTCTAGAATGACTAATGATGTTGCACATTTTCTTATGTATTTATTTGCCATTTGTATTTCTTTATCTGAGAAGTGTGTATTCATCTCAGCTGCCCATTTTAGGATTGGGTCTTTGAATGGGGGGGCTGATGTTTTTTAATTCTTTATATGTACTAGGTAGAAGCCCTTTGTCTGAGGGACAGTCAGCTAAAATTTTTTCCAAGTTTGTGGGTTTTCTTTTTACTCTGCTGGTGATTTCTTTAGATGTGCAGAAACTCTTCAGTAGGATAAGATCCCAGTTGCTGATTCTTTCAAGTGTTTCACGTGAAGTTTGGTTTTTGTTCATGAACTCTCTGCCTACCCCTATGTCTTCCAGGTTTTTACCTTTCTCTTCCAATAGATTTAGTGTTTCTGTTTCAATATTGAGATCTGTGAACCATTTTGACCTGAGTTTGTTGCATGGTGATAGACTTGGGTCTATTTTCAGCCTTGGGCAGGTGGCAAGCCAATTTTTCCAGCACCATTTATTAAAGAGGCTATCGTTTTTCCAGTGAGTTTGTTCGGCCCCTTTATCAAAGGTTAGGTGGCTGAGTGTGTTTTTGGTTGTGGCTGTTTCTTCCAGTCTGTTCCACTGATCCTCAGGCCTGTTTTTTAGCCATTACCAGATAGATTTTATTACAGTAGTTTTATAGTATAATTTCAGGCTAGGGACTGTGATTCAACCTGACTTGTCCTTGTTGCCCAGGATTGCTTTTGCTATTCTGGGTCTCTTCTGGTTCGAGATTAATTTAAGGCATATTTTCTCAAGATCTGTGAGGTATGCTAATGGTAGTTTAATGGAATTGCACTGAATCTATACAGCAGTTTTGGGAGTATGGCCATTTTCACAGTGTTGGTTCTTCCTATCCATGAGCAAGGAATATTTTTCCATTTACTGAAATCTTCCTCGATCTCTTTTTTCAGAGTACTCCTGCTGAGGTGGTCCTTGACCCTGAAGCAGTAGAGTCTCCTCAGGTAAACTATTATCTGATTCAGAATCAAAGTTGTCTTTGCTTTTTTTCATTTCTCATGTCTTCCAAGATCTCCTATTCTGATTCAGATTGGATGGACTCTAAAGTCACAGTTATCAAATTACACAAAGCCCAAACATGTAAAAGAATAAGATTCCCTTGTTGTTGAGCCAGAATATTTCCCATAGTAACTCTGATGAAACAATCCCAGAGACTGTGCTTTACCTACCCGTGAACTCTTCTTGGGTCCACTGAGCACTGAATTAATTTGCTTTCTGTAGTCTTGAAGACTGCTTTCCTTCTCAGGTTCCTGTTTGGTGTACCAATATGTTGGTCTATAATCCATTTCTGTCCAAGGTGACAGGTCCCAAACACAAGGGACCTGCAGATGAATAGAAAAGCAAGAGAAAGAAGAAAAACAAGAGAGGCAAAAATTCTGGGATCAGGAGGCTAGCAGCCTTTTGGACTGAAGCCCTGATCACCAATTTCAGTAACCTTTTGTTGAGAAAGTACAAAGGATGCAGCTATTACAAATGGGAGGATATCAACAAGTTTAGCAAGGACAATAAAACTCAGTTACCACAGAAACAGACTTGACTTAGTTAGCCATCATGTTATCATTCCTTCGGGCATATCTCAGCAAAGCATCTAGTGTTGTCCCATGGCTTTTCACAGGGACACAGGTTCTGCAATCTTTTCCTTTCCACCAATGCTTTTCCTAGACTTCCTCCAGAACCCAACAATCATGGCTTGGTCAGGCCTGAGGCAATACATTGAAAGAGGAACTAAAGAATGTCCCTTCTCCACAGATGAGCAGGCTGCTGCAACTATTCCAGGTGAAGGCTGCTGTGGCTGAATGCAGACAAAGCACTTGGGTCTCATGGCATAAGCACTGGATGATTGGAAAGGGCTACTCCTGTTGAGCTGAGTAGGAGGATCATAAAACAGATGACCTATGCCTATCTATAATTTTAGTGTTTTGATCATCAGGGATGTTTCTTGTGCTAATTTTGATCTTTCAGAAACGATTGCATGAAGATATACTTATTTTGATTATTTAGTTTTTGCTCAACCTGATTTGCAAATTGTGGCTTACATTATAATTTGGGAGAACCAGAAAGTTTAAATTAGGTTTAACCAAGCCAATGTTTTGATTACAGCAAAGCAAACCGAAACTCATGACTTTTTGTATGACCTTAAGACTAGACTTTTTCAAAAGAGAGAGAAAAAATTGCTGTCTTAGCACCAAGGGATGCTGAGACAGAAGAATTGCAAATTCAAGTCCCACTTAAAGCTTTGTCTCAAAATAAAAAATAAAAAGGGTTGGGAATGTAGCTCAGTGCTACAGTGTCCTCGATGTGAAAAAAACTGGCTGATGACAGCAGTCTATTTTATAATATTCTGTCCTTGTGTGGATTGTATCTTTTAGGAAAGTCAAATGTACAGATCCATTCTCAAAGTATGAAAATTTATGAAATTGTGCAAGAGAACTCCCTTGTCAATCACTAGTGGTAACAATAAAATGTCCCAGTTCTTTTTCCAAGTGATTAACATAATCAATGCAAACCAAGTTTAAACTACCATGTCCTTGGTTGATCAGTATTGCATTTCTATATCTGTTTTCATGAGAAGCCACTTTGAAGATACCAATATGTAATACAACAACCATTGTTAATTCCCTACCACTTTGTTTGTAATTCTGTATTGTCTGTACTGTTCTTTTGCTATGTTGTAAAATGTTGTCTGTCTGTTAATGTTTTCTTCCTCCTTTTATTTAAAAAAAAAAAACTACCATGTCCAAAGTGATAGGGGCAGTCATTATGTGTTTTTTAATTTTTTCATAATTTAAAAACTACACATAGCTAAATATGTACAAGGGCTACAGCAGATGGCCACTGATCTCTAATTTTAAAATGTAGTACTTCTTATTTAATGATTATTAGTATTCTAAGGAACAGAGATGAAGACTATGGTATGGAACAAGGAGATGCTTTTTGAGTTGGTTATCCATATTGCATCCTGAATACTACTAAAAAGAGTAGAATCTATTTTTATATTAAGTAGGAAACTAAGACAGTAAGCAATGTAGAGGAAATAGAGGACTACAGCTGCTTATCATCCTAAAAGTACAGAATCATTTCATAATATTACTCTTTACTTTATGTTTGATAGAGAACAAATCCACCAGGCTTAAAATCAGGAGTTCTCTTTTTAATTCAAATCTAACCCCAGAACGTTTTTTCTGGGAAATCACAAAGATACTTAGTAGTCATACTATAATTTTCAGACCCTCTCTTTTATTTCTATAATTTGAATTCTGCATTATATTTTACTTAAGTTTTGTTGATGTTTATTTTAGACTCTAGAGGTGCTTCTTTTGCTTGTTTTGATGAAATAAATTCCGAGGGAGATAGATATGGAAACTGTGGCAAGTTTCAATGTAACATTCGGTATGTATTTAAACATTATAATTTTGTTAGGAATGCAGGTTATAGATTACTAAAATCCTAGAATATATCATTTGCTCAGTAAAATGATATATTTTTTCAGATTTTCTTTGTTACATGATCTGAACTGTATTTCACTACCTATGAACATACTGTGTTCAGTGCTTATAATGCTGGCCATACAAATAAGCTTCTATTTATGGTTGTAATTAGCTAGACATTGTGTTTGGCAGTTTATATGTGGCAGGTACTGATTACAAATATGTACTAACATACATCAAATTTATTTAGCAAAAATTACTTATCCTCTTTTTCTTTATGAAAAATTAAAGATCAGTGATCATTTGCTCAGATTTCAGAAGCTAGAATAGGGCAGAAAAAAGCAATCAAGGTCTAACAATTGCTAGTTTTTCACTTGCTAAATTTCCTCATAAACCAAAAGGAGTGCTGTAAGTCATTGATAAAAACATTTAATGAGAGAAAATGATTGAAATATGTATTTAAATTAGTAAAGCATTCTTTTCAACTCAGCTGTCTGCTAGGTTGAATAAGAGTAAACTATATTTTAATATTAGGTAGGGAACTAAGAGAGAGTAAACAATTTAGGAGAAACAGAGAAGGACGTAACTGCTTATTTTCTTAACAGTGCGGAACCAGTGTTATTTATTAACATATGTTATTGGCTATCTGTTATATCAGTGAATGATAAAATAATTTTCCCTTGTGTTTCTAGAAATGCTTTATGTGGAAAATTAGTTTGTATGTGGCCACATAAAGAATTAGTATCACGTGTAAATTTATCTGTGATTTACACACATGTTCGAGATGAAATATGTGTAACTACATCTAAAACTGTAAGGAAGGTAGTTAGGACTGCATCATTATCTACGTATCTTCACCCTGAAGACAGAGATGAAACATTTGTACAAGATGGTACCATCTGTGGTCCTGAACAGGTAACTACATACATTCAAATTTTAAAAAGAAAATTTTAAGATTATTTTCATTTTGATACTATATTAACCAACATGTCTTTCTCAATATTTTTATTCTGGTAAAATGCACAAAACAAAAATTCCCATTTTAACCATTTTTAAATATGTAATTCAGTGGTGTTAAATATATTCATAGTGTTGTGCAACCATCCAGCTTCCTCGTAACTCTTTTTGTCTTGTGTTATGGTTTGTGCCTAGTTATTCCCACAAAGCTTCATTCAGTGATGGGGGGTGGGCTTTTGAAAAGTGGCTTTATCTAGAGTTTGTGATTGATTCATGGTCCAATGCTGGGATTAAGGGGTGTGGGTGCTATACCCACCCTACGGCAGGTAGCCTGCCTACAATATAAAGGATAGAAAGACTCTCTCTCTCTCTCTGTCTCTCTGTCTCTCTGTCTCTCTGTCTCTCTGTCTCTCTCTCTCTCTCTCCCTTTCTGCCTCCCTTCCTTTCTCCTTCTCTCATGTCCCTCTCCCACTCCCTCTCCCTCCTTCCAACCTTGTTGCTTTTACTATCTTCCACCACCATAAACTGTTGCCCCTCTGCCATGTGCCACCCTGCCTTGGAGCCAGCCAACTATGGACTGAATCCTCTATAATCTGTGAGCTTCTCTAAAAACTTTGAACTAAATTAATGGAAACCCTTTCCATGGCACAAGTTTTCAAAGATCCCGACAGTCCCCAAACTCCTGCCAACTGTTATAGCACTTTGTGGGAAGAAAGAGCGAGACAGAATAGAGGTGCAGCAGGGATCTGGGATGACTAGTTGTTCACAAAGTGCAAAAGGCCTTGAGGAGCCACAAGGAACAAAAGGTCAGAACATTGGTACATATTGACTACATCTGTGTCAAAGACAATGGGTGAAGAGCAGTGAGTCTTTCCAGGAACAGTAATGGTGACTATAGTGCACTAGTAAGAAGAACAAAGCATTCTTGCAAGACATGGGGCAATAAGGAAACTATAGTTTCCTCAGGTGCCCTATCATCTTCAGAAGGTCTTACCTTGCCCTGTAAGTGACACAGCAGCCACTAGCCATAGGGCTTTGAGCTGTAATTAGAAAAGAGCAAGAATTTTCCGAGTTCCAATCTGGTTCAAAGGGCAGGAAGAGGATGGCCTTGAACATCCCCTAGACTCAATTTATAATTTGTGGTCCCTGACATTAAATAAACCTTTCCTCCCTTAACTTTGGGCATTGAGTATTTTGTCTCAGAAACAAGGAAAGTAACTAAGACAGAATTTGTTTTTTTAAAGTGAGAACAAACCTTTTATTAATATATTAAGATAAAATAGACTGAAAGACAAATTCATCATAAATCATTCAGAACATTCATTAAAAATCAAATGCATTTTCTTTGAAAGTTCTCACACAGAAAATTTTATTTTATATAACTCTGATATATTAGTTTACAAATTAGACATTTCATTTTTAAACCGAATTATATAATCTTGAATGCACTATTAAAAAAGTAAGATCTCTATGTTTTGCTTTATTTAGCTTATACAAGGCTTCCATTAAAATTCCATCATGCCTTGAAAATTTCCGGTAGCTTTTAAAACACGTAAACTGAAACTAAACTTTAAATGGACAGAGTCTTTCAAAGCAATTTAAAAACCAAAAAGAAAGGAAAAGATAAGAAGCATTTTTAATGCAAATAAATTATACAATGTCAATATTTTTCCTAATCATTATAGTCATCTAACTCACAAACAATCCTCTCAAAAGTAATGGCTGGAGCACGTCAGTGCCACTGTTAGCTCAGTGCTCTTGAGTCGCAGGCTCAACTTAAGTGGACATGGACGAGACTTGCCCACCTCCTGCAAGTAGCATTTGCTCCTCAATGACGTTCTATCTCTATAGCCATCAAATTCTTGGTCATTAATGAATTAAGACACTCCCAGAAACACTTCTTACCCTTATGTAGTTCCAAATTGCTAGACTTAGAACGACATAGTTATTTTTGAAGTGTGGCCCTTAAATAGGAATCTCTATATTAAAACATAAAGATCAACAGAAAGAACTCACATCAATGAAATTCTGTGGACTGATTTTCAAATTTATAAATAAGAATACCCATTGCTAATAGAAGCCCTGCTCTGTGCAAACATAGTGTGGTATATATTAAATAATCACACATTTGAGGTATTAGCTGGAAAATGTGGGTATGTACACTTACACTTGTACACATCCACAGAATATTCACAAATCTATTGGCCTGAACACCAGCAAATAATCAAATTAAATGAAAAGGATCACATACCAACAGGAAAATGTTACACACAGGTTGTTCTTTTTTTTTTCTTTTCGTTTCTTCTTTTTTTTTTTTTTCTAGTACCAGGAATCAAATTCACGACCTTGCACTTGCCATGCAGGTGCTGTGCCGCTGAGCTAAATCTCCAGCCCCTCACACAGGGAACTTACAAAAATTTCATAACATAACCATCATACAAGGAATATGTTTGAATTAAGGTTTTGAGGAAAAATGTTGCCATTTATATGAAAGTATTTATTTAATAGTAATGAAACCAAAAATGAAGCCTGAATTCTAGGACTGTGTTACCTGCCAGATTGAAGGAAGAATGCAAAAGTTCTTTGAACAGCCATATTCTATCCATATGTTCTTTGTAACTGAAAATCATAACTTAGGAAAATTTTGAAGTTATGCCAGGAGTACTTTCTCTCCCTCTCTCTCTCTCTCTCTCTCTCTCTCTCTCTCTCTCTCTCTCTCTCTCTCTTTTTCTGTGTGTGTGTGTGTGTGTGTGTGTGTCTCTCTCTCTTTTTGTAGTGGAAATTGAACTCAGAACTTGTGCTTGACAGGCAAGCTCTGTGCCACTGAGCTATATCCTTGGCCCCTACTTCTTTCTTTTTCATTGATTTTTACAGAATGTTAGGCATTTTAACTAGGCAGTAGTCTAACATGTCCAATAGACGAGATTTTTCAGCGACTTAGAGAAGATTAAAATTCAAATTGATCATTTATTGTTTTTTTCTACTCAGATAAAGGAAAAAAAGGGATGAGTTAAATTCCCTTCTAGTTTGCTTCACTCAGTATGAAGATCAATGGTAATACAGGTGGTACTGAACTGACCAAGTCCACACTTCACAAGAAGCTAAATCAGTGCATTCTTAATCATTTGGCTCTTTGTCATAATACTTGCTTAACTAGAAAAGTGGCTTCTTTGGTGCTTACATCCATCAAGAAATATTCCACTGTCTTAACAAGGCAGAAGATTTTTTTAAATGAAATATGCAGAAATACATTAAGTAATATTAGCATGTTACAGGTGTTAAATAAGTGTATTTACAAACATTACAGATCCAACAGAAGGGAAATTAAATAATAATTTCATTCTATGTGTAGTGCAGAGAAGATTTATTAGAAAGAAAAATGAAGCATAGAAGTGCAGTGAAACTTAAGGGCCAGCATTCCACACTCCTGTTCCTGTTGACACCTGAGCTGATACACAGCAGAGTATTGTAAAGCATGGAAATGCTTTCAGGACTTGATCTTTCTCTACCAAGTCTTTATAAACCATGAACATGGATGCAATGATTATGAAAAAAGCAGCCAAAACAATTGGTTCCCAAAATAGGTTATTTTCACTTAATTAATTATAGGATGGATAACTTCTCATTGTTGAGAATTCAATTTATTTGATCAAAATAAGTTCCAAGGCTTACAGATGACTAAATGACTAGCACCAGTCTTTAGGAAACTAAGAAATAAAAAAAGGAAAATGGTACTATTTCCTTTCCCCCCCAAACCTTCACAAGAACAACAGTGTCCATGTCTATGTCTGTGTCTGTGTCTGTGCTATAATATAAAAAGGGATAAAATATATAAAGCTTGAATAAATATGACTGCTGTCAAATTTCCAAAATAGCAGTAGAGAAGCTAGTTAAAGTCAAAACCCTTTAAGTAGGAACTAAAATGATCAAGTAAGGTTGAAAGCTCATGTAGCTAAGAAATAAGATGGCAGAATCCTGATATTTTTAATCATGAGTGAGTAACAAATATGATAATCTTACATCTAAGAGAGTTGAAGTCTTCTCACTGTGTACAACTGACCTAAAGTACAAGATGCTTACTGCCTTTGCACCATGTTAGAGGGGACATTAAGAACTCGGTCTTCACTTGCATACTTTATATGTGGCTCACCTTGTCAGTCACTCAAATCAATCCTTTCTCACAGTTGTTTGAAAACTTTATCAAACACATTTTTCTAACAAGTTATGAAATGTAATGGAATGCAGTAATAGACCTGAAATATATAACACTTAAGACAGAATTTGGTACCAGAGAAGTGGGATCATTGCTGTAACTATACCTGGCCATGTGGTTCAGGAGCCTTTGGGAATGGCTTGTGGGATGTGTTTGGAATGATTCAGAAATGCAAACTGAAAAAGTAGAGCTGGAATGCTTTAGGCTGTACTATAGAAGAGGTTCTGGTCAGAGCTCAGAAGATCAGAAGGCAGATAGATATGTTGCTAGTAAAGATTAGGGTTGGGAGGTTTCTGCTGGGAAGAAAGACTGCAATGGTTGTTGAACTCCAGATGATGCATGTTATGGCTTGGCAGAAAGTTTGTCTGCATTTTGCTACATCCAGAGACTGCCTGAGACTGACATTAAGGGTGGTGCTCTAATTAATCAGGTATAAGAAATTTCCAGGCAGTCAAATGTTGAAGCAGTAGTATGTTGGGGGCTTTTAGTCAGATTTATGTTGAGAATCAAGAGCAAAGATCTCAGGAGAAGGATTTAAACATTGTGAATTTGGCCAGAAAGGAAGCTCCAGTAAAGCTGTGGACTGCAAAAATAGAGCACAGGAAATCTATTGAGAAGGAACAGGAAAATAGAAAAGATAGCCTGAGAGCAACACAAGAAGCAGTAGGACACACCCTTTGCAGCCTCAAAATTTCAAAAGTGAAAACTTTGTTTTGAGGAGAGAGCCATAGAGCACCATGTTCCA